CGACCTTTAAGCGCAGCAGGTCCGGGTGGTTGCAGCCAGTCGCATGCGTGTGATGAGCTCGAAAATATTGGCGTAGTTGTTCAGCACTGTGCCGTGCTCTGCATATGTGGTGAACTCGCGCTGGTAGTCGGAAAACAATGACACATAAAAGTCCTCCTCCTCGGGGCTGAATTTGTCGCGGCGCGTCTGGATAATACGCGGCGGTAGCCCCATGTCCCTTTGCGCGCTCGACCTTGGTGCGCCGCAGCATGACATTGTCGAAGCTTGCTTCAGCTTGGTGAACGCCATACGGCTCTTGTCGCTATTGATTGGGTTCTTCTGAATCGGGTTCATGATGTGGTAGTTCCAGTAGCAAAAGTGCGACATGTAGTGTGTGAGCACTGGCTGCAGGTCTTGCTCTTGTGGAATGGCCACGAGAGCGACGTGCAATCGCTCTTGTAGTTGAAGTACATTGCAAAGGGACTGCAGCGGGTCATCCCGGATCAAGGAGTATAGTTCGCCCACACGGTTTATGAAGAGGGGTGCCAGTCAGCGACCACGTATACTTGGCTTTCAGCTCGAACGCTGCACGAGCAGAATTGCTGGACCGGTCCTTGATATTGTGTGCCTCATCAAGCACGATCCGTGCCAGTCGACTTTGTGCAGCACCGAGTCTTCATGCAGCAGGTTGCCATGGCGGCGGAATCCATAGCGCTCGCGCCGAAACGACGATTCGACCACCGCATAAGTGGTAAGCACAACGTCGTATTTCACCAGCTCGCTCGGGTTGAGATCCCCGTTCTCGTCAGCAAGCTTCTGGCGGTCTGTGCCATAGTACATGAACACCGACAGGTCGTCGGTAGGCCGCCTCGATCTCAGACTTCCACTGCATCAGCGCTACTGTCGGACAGATTACCAGCGTCGGCTTTCCACGATTGACCAGCATCAAGCCGATGGTCTGCAGTGTCTTGCCCATGCCCATCTCGTCAGCCAGCACCCCACCGCGGAACTGGTGCCCTCCTGCCGTGCCATCCACCACACGCCCTCGCGTTGGAACGGCAGCAGCCGGATCTTGAGGTTGGGCGGCTGCTCGACCATCTGCATCTCGGGTGGTCCAGGCAGCGACTTCCATGCGGATTTCAGCTGCGGGTGGTGGAGGAACAGCTCTGGGCGGTGAAAGTAGTCCAGGTCTCCTTCGGGAGGAGCATCGATAGGAGGGTCTTCTTCCTTGACCTTTGGCCGTTTCCGAGCCCTGGCGCGAGACGCCTTGGATCTGCCAGAAGCTGATGCTCGTGCCGGCCGAAGAGCAGATGTCAGCTCCTGGACGCGGCGAGTCAATGACGAAATAGTCTCGCAAGCTCGCCTCTTCTGGATGCATATTCTCTCTTCGCCTTTCGTGCTGCTGTTCCAGCCTGCCCCTCTGCTCGGCTGGTCCTTGACAGCAGTGTCTTGCAGTTCCTCCGACTCCCCTACGCTATCCCATCAGTGTCCGTCTGCTCATCCGATTCACCAAACCCCTGCCCAAGCACATTTAACTGGAGGTTGGTCGCTCGCTCGTTGCGCAGCAGTTCCTCCAGCTCGTCATAGAGGCAGCCCTTGCTTCTATGGCTTCAGCAAGCTGATCTTCAAGCTCAGCTTCAGTGGTGTTCTCTGGCCCCGCAGTCTTCCGACGCCGGGTTGGTGGTTCCTGGAAGTCGCTCTCGTCGCTGCCAGAATCATCGGAGCTCTCACTGACAAAGTCACTGTCGTCATCGCTGACAGCAACTAACTCCTGTGGCGAGGCTGGTGTGGCAGTTCCGCTGGACGAGCTGTGGCTCCCGGCTGATGTCGGTGCGCCGGATGAGGCAACCAGCGTGGTAGTAGACGAGGACGTGTGATGGGCTTGATCGGCAGCGGCCTCTGTGTTTTTTGCGCAGGACCGCCGCAGCAGGCGCAGGCGCAGGCGCAGGTCAGCTGCCAGTGAACGACTTTTGGATCGGGTAGTAACCATCCTTTTTGCTTCTTGCTGCAGGAACTTTGTGTGAAAAAACTGAAGGTAAAGGAGCAGAGATGTATGCGTCGTGCCCTTTGCCACCAAAGAGTACAAATTAAAAACTGCGGAATGCAGCGATGGCGCAGGCGGTTTCCATTGGGCGAACCGCTGATTACATCCTGGGTGGATTAATCCTCGCTGTGGATAGCGCCTGGCTAAGGGCATAAAACCGTGGATTTTGACTGCACCCACGGCTCTTTTCTTGTATTTTCGTCTTCATTTTACAATAATTTACTATGGATTGTGGAACTGGCGCTGCGGCAATTAAGCTAAAGAAGGAGTTTATAAGTAAGTTGGGCGCGACCAGCCGGCAGTTGGCAGTCCAATGGCGGCAGCATTTTGAGCAATGAGCACTAACCAGCACAAAAACACATCCCCTTCTCAAACCTCTGCATTTGCGCGACATAGAGCTTCAGAAGGAGCCATGCGACGGCTTCTCGGTGGGTCTTGTGGACGATGACAACATTTTGAGGCAAGTAGCATGCGCAGAGCAGCGAACCCGGGGCGGATACTATTGCATTGCAACGGCATTGGCATCTGCTGACTAATTTGTTCACACATACTCTTGCAAAAAGCGTGTAGTGGGAAGTCACGGTCATGGGTCCGCCAGAGACATACTACGAGGGCGGCTTGTTCTCAGCGCGGATGACGTTCCCGGACCGACTACCCGATGCGGCCACCCCAGCTGCGTTTCAAGAGCGAGCTCTGGCATCCGAACGTGTACCCTGACGGGCGCGTGTGCATCTCAATCCTGCATCCGCCTGGTGAAGACGCCATGGGCTACGAGAGCGCCGACGAGCGCTGGTCGCCGGCACAGACAGTGGAGTCGGTGATGCTCAGCATCATCTCGTTGTTTGCCGATCCCAACGACGAGTCCGCCTGCCAACCCTGACGCCGCCAAGCAATGGCGCGAGGACAAGCGGGGTACAAGAGGCGTGGTCTTTAGGTGTGTCGAAAAGTCGCTTGGAGGCTGCTGAAGAGGGGGTTTTGCCGTCTGCTATCTCCCGTGAAGTCGTTAGAAATGAAACTACAGCTTCGTCTATAGAATTCGAGGCCAAAAGAAAACCATTTATTTCTTAAAAGCTTGGGTGTGGGGTATGAGGGATGAGTCAAAAGATGAGGGATTGCATGAGATGGTATAGCACTTAGACAAAGACGACAACGACGACACTCGGCCATGTCGACCGCGGAGATGCAAGGCCATAGGCCAGGGGCATAAATGAGGGGAGATGTGGCCACGAAGAGCCGCATGGGAGGACAGAACGAAAATAGAACAAGGCGGAGAATCCCCGTCCATCCACCACTCGCACCCCCATTACGACATGTTGCTGTCGAGCTGCTGCTGCTGCTTCTGCTGAGCATTGAGTGACAGCGTGGCGAGAGGAGTGGTCGGACAGGCTGGCTGATGTCACGATCGGCATGGAGGTCGACGATGTGACTGCAGAGAGCACTTGCGAGAACTGGCTATAGTCGATGCCGCTCAGACCAGCTGATTGGTTCGCCGCACCAGCCTGCGGGATATAATTAGGCATGCTCTTCTGCTCGTCCCAGCCGCCCGGCGCCGCCGTAACGCTGGCCATTGCCCGACATGTCAATGACATTGCCCAGCGTCACCGCCGGGTTGACCGACATGCCAGCCATCACCTGCTGCTGCTGGGCCGCCGTGGCATGAGCCACAAAGGCCGCTGCCGCTGCTGCCGCCGCTGCCGCCGCCGCGCTATCGCCAGATGTGTGCATCTGCGGGGCGCCCATGCCCATCGTCAGCGAGGGCATCTGGGACAGCAGCGGCGCCGAGGCAGGCGACATGTTGAGTGGTGAGTGGTCGATGGACCCGCTGTCGCTGTGTGACGACGAGCCCGTGCGAGCCGCAATCAGGGCAGCACTGGTGTTGACCCGCAGCACGGCCGGTTTGATCTCGTGGATGTGCTGCTGGTTCCGAGCAGCGAGCTCTGCCGACTCCTCGGCAAGCGACTCGGCTGTGACGACGGACCTGAGCGGCTGCACGCCTTAGCGTCGGCCTTGCCGGTCACAATGTCGTCCAGCGAGGGAAGGATCTCAGCCGGCTCACCAGCATCAGCAATGGGCTCCAGGCCCAGCTGCTGGCGCAGGCGGTTCACCTCGTCGTGCAGCGCCAGGTTGCGCAGCTGCAGCTTCTTGATGTACTGGTCACGGTTGTTGAGATGGTCCTTGAACGACCGGATGTAGTCCAGCGACTTCTCCACGATCGTCGCCTTGCTCGGCCGCCGCACATGGATCAGCGATGGCACTGCCGACGCCAGATCCTGGAACTGCCCGTTCAGAGACTCGCGCCGCGCACGCTCAATCGCATTATGCGTGGCGCGTCTCTGTGCGTGATCGATGCCCGAGACCGACCGGCCGCTGCTCGGGGACCGCCGGTGGGAGGTCCGGACCGACTGCGCCGCCTGTGGTCGCGGCGTTGATTGTGGCCGCTGCGGCAGCTGCTGCTGCGACCGGGTTGTTTGCGACCAGCGTCTGTTGGGCCTGGTGCAGGTGGGCGGTGTTGACTGCCATGGGCGTCGTCGAATAAAGGGTGGCGGCAGCAGCATGTGGATTGTGGAAGTACGTGGCTCCCGCATGCTGTGGCTGTGCGCCAGGGGTCTGCATAGCCGTGCTTTGCTCGCCAGTGAATGGGTCAATGAAGACCATATTGGGTGGGTTCGAGAACGACATCATGGACTGCTGTAATTAACACCGGGTCTTTGTTGTTTGCTTGTTTTCCGCTTTCTGGTTACCGGAACCAACTAGGGTAAGAAAATGAGCGAGGAGAGGGATGCCGAAAGGAGTCTGTATCGATATGGAATCGCACTATTTTCTTCCTGGGTCAACCGAACGAAAGAAAAATAGAGTAATATGCCAAAACTGCAAAGACAGACTATGAAATAAATGAGAAAGCGGGGGATAAACACACACACGAGAGGGCGCTGGGTGGGTTTACGGAGGAGAGGGAAGGAGGGGGGATGGAGTGAGAGAGAGGGAAGGGGAACTATGCACAGTGGACTCAGGGGGCAGGTTTGCTCGCGCTCAACGCTGAGACAAGGGAATAAGAAGGAAAATGTTTTTTGGCCACGAAAAAGAAAAAAGCAGAGACAAGGAGCAGCACAGACTGGGTCTGAGGAAACCCGCCGAGTATTTGAAGCGCAGGAGCAGCGGCAGCTGTGTTTGTGTGGGGGGAGGGACCTGCAAGGACGAGTGTCTCAGAGTCTGGAAGGGCGAACCTATTGCGCCGCCTCCCAGTAGTTGTCAGAAAGAAGAGAGAAAATTATGCCCAAAATAATGATTTGGCGCTGTGGATGTAGATCGCTTATTTTTTACTGCTGCCGTTGTTTTGAACAACAGAATTGGGAAAGCGAGCAGCGCTCGGAAGGGCGGAAAAGCTCTCGGATACAAGTGTGTGAATGGCGATTGCCCGGTTCGCAAAACGGTCTCAACGGTCCTCTTGTGTCACACAGTGACGATGTGGGGATGAGTGGGCTGGCTTAATTTATCTGCCACGGAACAATTCGCCACCGATAAATAAAAACGCCTGTGCGCCGGTCGATGGGAATAGTGTAAGTGCTATAATAAAATTATGCGGTTGAACGTGTATTCACAAGGCCGAGGGCAGGAAGAAGGGAATAAATAGAGTCCATTTTTAGCTTCGCCATGTCCATATGCCCTGCTATTTATTTCCCACACACGCCCCAGCCGCAGAGCGAACATGGGCAGCCCGCTCTGCAGAAGAGAATAAAAATGAGTGGTCAAATGGCATTTCGCTGACTGGCTGATTCTGCTGCTGCAGCAAGTGTTCGAAAACCCGCTGCTGCCCTTCCCATTTGCGCTCTCTAGACATGTTTTATTGCTGCCGCTGCATTACCGCCCATGCACTTTGTTCTCGCAGCCCCCTTTTCGAACCCGTACCACCTGACACATAGCCATGTGACGCGCTTTGGTACATGAGCCCTTTTGCCGCAGACGAATCATCGCCTTTTGATCCCTCATCCTCACACCCTGCCTCCCCGACTGTCAGTGCACAGCGTCTTGTCCATTCACCAGCCGCCGCCACCGTATTAGCACCTCCCTCATTCTTCCTTGCTCGGACTTTCTGCAGCTGCAGAATCCGGAACAGTGGCTCATATGTAACCCTGTCCCCGAGTTGGGAAAAAAAGATTCCTATTGTTGTTGTCTATCCTGTTGTTGTCTATCCTGATACCTTGGCATTCAAAATCAACCAATGTCTACAGTCTTGACGATCAGCAAGCACCGTCAACTCGCCAGAAATCATAGGACGTGCCACTGCCGGAATCTGCGCGACATGCCGCGTAATTTTCTTCTCAAGCAATAGAAGAAGAAATCCTGTAAAAGGCGCATCCTCTCCCCTCTCTGCCAGGAGTAGATCTTCCACTTACGCCCGGCGCAGGCTGTGTTGCCTGCGAAAGAAAATTGTGTCAGATGACCTCTGACGCAGCACTCTGGCAGAGAATAAGTCGCTCATTGTTCGGGGGAAGGAGCCAAAATTCGTACTCGCTCATAATGCCCAGGAGACATGAGCCTTGTGATGCGGCGTATATTAATCATCTCACCTGTTCCCCCATTCTACCTCTTACCACCCTTCTTCAGACGGGCATTCCGGCATTTAGTCCGCAATAAAAAAAAACTTCTTTTTGGGCTGCGCATATCCGGTTTTGTTTTCGTCCTCCTCAATAAACGCCGCTTTGCACCGATAATGACCAGTGCCATCGGTACTTGTTTTTTTTTTTTTTTGCAAAAAGAGGGATGCAAATATATGCATCTTGGCAATGAACCTGCGCAACGGACATTGAATTCTGCTCCGCCCTGCCACCCCTTTAGTCATGAAACACCCAGCAAATGCGCGGGCTCTCGGGGCTTTAACCTTAACAACAGGTCCACAAACATCCTCCCCAACAGCAGCACTGCTTGTCGACCGGTGTCCATCCCTG